CGCCTGCCCGCCCCCCCCCCCCCCCCCCCCGCTCTCAAGCTGCTCTGGCTCACAGGAGCTGGATCTCCGTGTTCCCCTTCTGTGTTCCCTGCTCCTTCCGCACTGACTGTGAAGCTGGTGCCTGGTGCAGCCAAAGGTCTGTGGTGAGATGAGTGCTGTGGATGCATGCAATAGTGAATGTGGGCCTGCTAGACCCACCTCCTCCTGGCAATGGGGGATCCTATGTGGTTAGACTGACTGGAAGGATTTAGAGCAAGTGCCTGTTGCTGTGTCTGTGACCCTCTCCTGAGAAGGATTGTTTCCAAGCTCTTCCTAATCCTCCATGCTTATGTGGGTGAAGTCTGAACAAACCACCCTGCAGGGCCTAGGAAGGAGGAGGAATCTCTATAGACCATGAAGAACCAGTGTCTAAACAAACATGAGTGCCTTTGCATGGAGGTTGGATCTGCTGTGGAGTCGGGGCTGATCTCCGGCTAATGTCGTGTCCCAGTCCAGCCAAGAGCATCTCCACTGGCTCACGAGGTAGCTCTAGTCCCCTTTGGGGCATCTGTCTCACCTTGGCCTTACTGGAGGGCACACAGACATCAGGAAGCAAGGCCAGAGCAGAACAGCAGAAACAGTAATTTGGCAATTGGGAAAGTAGTCTTTGCCCATCCTCATTATATAGATCAGGGCTCAAATGCATTGCTCCTTGCTTGTTTATTCCAGCTGTAGTGGATGGTCAAGGGAGAACAGCTTAGGCCTGGAAGAAGCTCTTCTTCCCAGGCCAGAGCTGAGATGCTGATGTTCTACCTCCAGCTCTATCCTCCCGTTAAAGCTTTCAGCCTGACTCTCAGTGCAAGCTGGCTCATTTCCACATAACCGTGACCCCAGTCATTGCTACAGATCCTCCTACTTTGGGATCAGAAACTTGGTGGCAAATACTGCATGTGTGTCTTCTGGCTATGAAAGTAAAAGCCAGGGTTTGCCCCTCTGGCTGAGGTGGGAGTGTTTTGGATGCGAATAAGGGCGCTTAATCTCTTTGCTTGGGGAAGGCGACTGTTCGCCCAAGCAAAGCGCTGTATATTGCTCGCGTACAGTCTAGCCTGTGCTGCTCATAGCTTGTCCATGGAGCCCCTGCTTAGATCACTTTTGGGAAAGAGCTATTAATGAGCGACGCGCCTCCTAGTTTACCGGAAACGGGGTTAATTCTCTGCTTTGAAAAAACGTCCTGCATTCTGCTCCGCTCTGTGCTTTAACTTTGTCTTGCAGTTAATCCAACCTCTGCCTAATTTGAAGTTTTCCTCAAACTACAGTCTGCAGGCACTCAGGGCTGTGGCTCCTCTGTCTCCCTCCTCTTCCTCTGCACGCTTGTGTGTTATTTATTTATTTGTAATCGGGTGCGAGGTGAGCGAAAAGCGCTCGCTTGCACCCCGCCGAAGGCTCGTTCCCTTGTGTATCCGTCACTGTGAGGCACGGCGCGATGCCAGGAAGGGGCAGCGGCGGCTCGCGCCTCCCTTACTCCTCGCAACGCGGAGGCAGGGGTTTTGTACGGAGATGGTGTCTGTCACCCGGTGGCTTTTGCCCCTGGGTTTCGTTTTGCTGCTACCGGTCGAGGGCCGCGACTCGGGTAGCGCGGCTCGGCCCGGCTGGGTTTGGACCGCGGGAGGGGTGGACGTGGCGCACTCTGGGATTCCTTGGACTTTTATCACTTTCAGGCACTCCCCCCGCCCCGCCTTGGGTTCGTACTGAGCACTTTGGCCTTTGGCGGACTGCAGTAGTTCACTCGCAACCTTATCGTCCACCCCATGCTGCGGTTTTAGCCAGGGTGCTGCGTATCGACTAACTAAAGCAATAATTACTCTTCAGGCCTTTTCCCATCTGGTGTTCAATGCTGTGAAGCAGATGAAGCTTTGGGATTGATTATTTTGGTTTGTTAAAATTCTGCTTTTAATTCCCCGTGCTACTATTGGGCATGACACAATTTTAGCAGGGGTATGGGGGGGGGAGGGGGGAGATTTTTGTGAATTACTACCGGTAAAATCTGAGCAAACGCCAACGTCCTGGAAATGTTTGTTGATTTTCTTTGCTGTTAATACTTGTGATTATTTTATACGGTCAATTTTACAGCTTACGATTTTATAATTTAATAAAGGTAGTAGTATTTAAGGGCAAGCTCAGATTGTGCTCTTAAGGTGGCTGGATTTTAGGCTTATCGAGGTAGGGCAGAAAAAGCCAATGAAAAGCTAACGGCGGCCGCGGCCTCCTGGCTGGGGGGGGGAGGCGAACGCGGG